ATGGCTTCTATGGTGGAGAACTTTATGTTTTCATGGCCAAGTGATTATGAAGTTGGTGAAGCCACTTTGGGAAGGTCTAAAATTTCACGGGAAATATTCCAATTGTTTGATTTTTGAGCTTCATCAGAATTGGGAGACAATTATTTTGTTAATTTAGCATTTTTTAGGATAGTTGTTTGCTATTTTTGTATTCTTTCTTCTAATTTCCTGATAATATTTTCTTTTTCTATAAAAAAAACTAAAATTCATTGTTTGAGGAGGTCTTGTTCTCCATTTTTGTGGTTCTTTTTCTCCTTAATGTTTAATAAATCTTCTTTTTCTGAAAAAAAAGATCAATTAAGATTCTCAAATCTTCATTATAAAAGATTGGCTTCTTATCAACAAAAAACTCAAAGAATGAAAGTAAGTTTAAGGATCTTGATAACGTTATACACTTGTTCTTGTGGGAGAGAGAGGAGCCCAAGAGTGTTTGAGGATCTAATAATTGTTTGGCTATTAGTCAATAATCTAACATCAACTTTCCCCTTCCTCTGCTGGCCTTTTCACTAACTTCTAAGCTACCAAGTGGTAATGACGATGATCATTTAAATCTTCCCACGAAAATTGACATTGGAGATCCTCTAGGACCACATTGGTAGATATGGGAAAAAGGATGAGAAAGATTGGCAAATTGGACATAGTGTTTTTGAATTTTCAAAGAAACATTAATACTTGAATATGTTTCTTCTCCATTGCCTGCTATTATATTTTTTATGATTATTGTAATACACCAATTTAATATCGAAAAGATGTATTATTATTAAACTTCGTATAATGCTTAAGTCATCCACTACCAATAAATTGAGTTTGAACTTTTAGTAGTTGATGGTTTGAGTACAAAAAATTGTTGAATTAGCGGCGCTTATGAATCTTATGGACCTTGACAAGGACAATGATGATTTGAATATTGAAGATCATGATATGCTAATTCCACATTAGAAAGATTTGTGATTATTGAATTTCATATAAGGGTTCAAGTCACATATTACCAATAATTTGAGTTTGAATTTTTGAGGGACATGAGTTTGAGTCCAAAAAAATATTGGACTAGTAGAACTTGAACTTGAGACGTTGCAATTGTGTCTGTAAATCAGATATAGTTCTCAGTGTGAGATGCCTAAGGTTATAGGGATAGGTGGATTCATTATTTTTGCTCCTTGATGTTGGGTCATGAAATTTATAGAATGGAGAATTTTGAGAATATCATAGATATACTAACAGAATTCTAACTTTTTATGAATGGGTGGCACTCCCTTGTTACCTCCTTAATATACTTTTATACTTTTCATTTTAAAAAGAAATAGCTGGTATTGCCCACAAATTTTTGAAATATGTTGCCCGCAAATTATTTGTTAATACACCTAACTTTTAGATGCTTTATTGCATTGATTACCTGTGCTGTTTTCTATTTGGTTTTTCCTTCTCCCTCTCTCTCTTGTTGAGATAAACCCTGGGAGTCTAAAACAAGTGGAGCCTAAAATATTTCTGACCCTGCTAGTTTATATTCTATTCTACCATATTTTCAAGTATTTTCCAGTATCATCAAGTGTCATTTAAGTAGCAATATAAATTTCTAATTTATATCTGGAATTTTTGTAATTTGTTGACTACATTGTAGGGTGATTTTCGAGCATACTTGAAGCAAAAAGGTCAATTAAAGCCAACGTTAGCTGTGAAGTTCGCCCTTGACATTGCTAGGTTAATCTTGTGGCTGTTCATTAAATTGTTGGAGTTCTGTGATTAGTGCTATTGAGACTTCTCAGTTGATTCTTGATCTATTTTTCTATGCATAATTTGTTGAATTCAGTTTTTTTTTTTTCTTTTTCTGTAGTGTTGGGAAGTTGTTTTGGGTAAGTTTCGTGGCATTTTCTGATTAACATATCTTTCATCTTGGGTTTCAATTGCATCTCGAATTAGAAAATCTAATGAATATTGGATTGACAAATACTGGCCCACTTTAGACAGAAACATAAGAACAGCCAGTAGGAATTTCTCTTAACTAGGTGGTTTTGAGTGAAGAAGAAAAAAGGTAGCTCAATTAGATGCTACAATGGGGACTAGAATACGAAGAAGTAGAGTTAAGAGGTCCTAGAATGATTTGGAAGATCTTCAGTATATCATTATGGAAAATAGTAACTATTTCTGATCTAAGATGTGGAATTGTCTGTTCTAGAATTGCATTTAGTCTGATCCTCTCTTCTCTGCAATTAAGCTTTGTGTTATGTTTTAACTGATTAATCGAATAACAAAATTTAAAATGATGTAGTTTATTTTCTGTATGGCAGTAATTTGGGAATTGTTTTCTGGATATTTTTATCAATATAGCTGGATTTTAGAGGATTACCATGTACTGCCATATCTAATAAGTTGGATATATTGATAGATCTCAACAGAGTCCTACTATTTTTGCAGGGGGATGAATTATTTGCATGAGCATAAACCTGAAGCAATAATTCACCGCGATCTTGAACCTTCGTAGGTTTCCTCATTTTATATATATGTAGATGCTTCCTGGTTAACTTGGTATTTAAGAATATGTATTTGCTGGATATCATCCAATTACAAATCCTACATGGTTTGATTGTTCATGAGTAAGATAACAGAAATATACTACGGGATGATTCTGGACATCTGAAAGTTGCAGACTTTGGAATCAGCAAGATGCTGAAAGTTTCAAAAACAGTCAAAGAAGACAGATCCGTTGCATGTCAAGACACATCTTGTAAGTTCTTGGCTTTGGATGTCAATGGAAATGTTGATTGGGTGCATTACTAGGGCTTTAATACTATTATAACTGAAGTCCAGTTTACTAATTATGGTACTTTTGGGTGGTTGTCAATGGTTTATTGGACCTTGTTTGAGGATATATTCCTGTTATTTTGCTGTATGGGCAGTTTAATGCAAAAACCTCTCTTTCATGTCTTTGCATCATGCAGTTTCATTATACTGAATTTTTAAGAGTTGAATAGTGCATTTTTAATATTTAATACTTGTGGTGTGTCCATCTGGCATGCATAGGGCGATATGCAGCTCCAGAGATTTACAGAAATGAAGAATATGACACTAAAGTGGATGTGTTTTCATTTGGGTTAATCTTACAGGAGGTAGTCTCGTCTTTCCTTCCTCACCTTTTATATGTCATAGGACAATGCCTCTGGTGTTATGAATTCTTTTAAAGGATTTTTTTTTTCCTGAAAGGGCTGATGTTATGATGTGCAAAATTAGTCTATCATATTTGGATATGAAACGATATATCTTTCAAATAATTTGTTAACCAGGCCTGCAAAGTTTTTCCTTCACTTTTCTTTTTTCAACCAAGAAAACTTTCGATGAAAAGAAAACAATATTTCTTTTACAAGGCACTAAGAATACTGCCTGTATAAAAATATTAATTACATGAAGGTAGTAGTCAGAATACCTACTAGGTTGCCTAAACTCTACATAAGAGTAAGAGGATGACCCTTGAACTGAATAGAAAGAGTTTTGAAATAATCTCTAATTCTGTAAAAGAGGAAATAAGCTTAAAGGCTATTCTTTTCCTTTCTCTCTAAATGACTGAAAAAATAGAGAAAAGTGGTGAGTGAGATAATCTTCTTGCATTTCTTGTCAGCACTGCTATCCTCTCAAGCTCGCAATTCTGTTGCCACGAGTCCCCTACTTAACACCTGAGGAATTTGGGTGCAGTATTCCAGAGTAATTTGGTTACAAGACATCATATTAAGTGGATTATTAGCTGTCTTTTCTTCTGTCTTGCACAAGAAGCAACTGCAGACAAATAACTCTCCTCCTCTTCCTTAATTTTCAGTTGTTAGAATTCTACCCCAAGCAGCCTCTCTAATGAAAAATGGTACAATGTGGAAACTTTGCTTTTCCATGCATGCTTCTGTCTCATGCATACTTCCAAAATAAATAATCTAGAATAGGTTATTGGCCAAGACAAGTTTGAAATTTATCTCAAAAAAAAAAAAAAAAGACTAGTTTGAAATAGATAGGACATTGGAAGTCATACTTTTGCTCAACTTCCAAATAGGCAAGTCATCAACCCTCAACAGTTTGTGACAACTCTAGTTTTTTATAAGGATTCTTACAAGGTTTCCATGTTATCGTTTGTGATCCAGTTAGTTGAATCTCCCATAACATTTGTCTCGGTCACGTAAGAAACACTTACGGCCTCTCTAGACTTTGGACTTTGTAGGAACCTCACCACAGAATTTTTCTCACAAAGTCTCAGCACACACTAAACCAACCATACCTCGTCTAATTCACTTGCACAATCCATGCTACATGGCTCCTTTTTGTCACTAGTAATTTAGCTATTATTGGACAAGCCATATGTGGCTTTAAGCATCTTCTATGGTAGCTACCTCTGTTGATCATGAGCCTCTGAAGCCATTTGCAAGAAGAGCTGATTGAAGACCATCAAGGATCTTAATTTTAGCTCCCTTCTCTTGTAGGATTCTGTAACAGTCTCCCTAGCCATTAGGTTCTATTAAGGGCCATAAGTTTCTTAATCTTAGCTCTCTTCTTTTATAGGACTTTGTAACAGCCTCCCCAATCTCCTTGCATCCCCAGGAAGAAACAATAACTATAAATTTCTATGTCATGTTAACTCCGCCAGAAACAGTAAAAGAAATAGATAATAAATAGGACAATTTGAAGTGGGGATTGGATCTTGGGACAACTTGGATAAGTTCTTACTTCTCGACATTTTTGCAAAAAAAAAAAAAAAAAAAAAATTGCGTCAAGATGGAAATGTGGTTTCATGCTTTATAAACCAAAAGTTTTTCTGTTGCATCAGGCAATGTTAGGATTAGGTTTTATGCTTGCTAAGATAAATAGAGAACCAAGATATCTCCTGTTTGTTTCTTTCTTCATAGTTCTTGTTTCTTCTAGGTTAGTGATGCAAATTGGCAACAAACAGTGAAATATTTTTAGTATCATAAAATAATTTTATAATGATTATGTAATTTTAGTACTTCCACTCTTTTTATATTTCAAGGGTTACTTAGAAAATAGTAACTAAATTTAGGTATTGTTTTGATTGTTCTTTTTTTTTGGGTTAATTTTATTATGTAGGATGTTTTCACAATTACACGGCCACTAACAAATACTGTAAAAGGCAGCACTGGTTTAGCAATGCTATGGTAGAAATAGAAGAGACAAGAAAAGGAGGAAAAAGGGAAAGGATAGTAAGGAGTAGAAACCAACATTTTAAGAAAGAAATGCTTCAAATTTTAAATAATATAATCATCATACTTTTGCGTTACATCAGATGTTTATATAGTAAATAATGAATAGCAAAAAGAACCAGTACACATCTGCCAACTTATTGGTCCACAAGGAGTTGTCACCACTCTCGGATCAATGAAAAATGGGACAAGTTGCCAACTTGGCATTTCCACCATGTTTGGATGAATTAGAAGGGGTACAAGTTTGCCTGTCTGGTTGCTACCACCTTTGACTATTCAAAACTCTAGCACTGGAAAGACCGATAGGAAATAAGGGGTCACATTATTCTGTCAATAGCAAGGTCACTCCTAATTAGCTAATTTTTTTTTTAAGTATCTGTATAATATAAAAGTATATGGGGATTGGATAATTGATAATAGAGAGGGTAAAGGAAGGATTCTGCGAAACCTTGCTTTATTCATTAACTCTCGTAAGGGATTAAAAAATTATTTATCTTCAACCTTTACTTTACCCCCCTTTATTCTAAAATTGAATTCCAATATACATTGTTAAAAGAAAAAGCAATAACGTGTTTGCATAAAGTTGTTTCTTATGAAAATTAAGTATTGAAAACGAAGGTTGTATGCTGGTTTCTTCTTGGTGATGAGAACTTACTTCATTTACTAATTTTTTAGATGATTGAAGGTTGTGTACCATTTCCAAATAAGCCAGAAATTGAAGTTCCTAAAGCCTATGTTGCAAATGAGCGCCCTCCATTTAGAGCCCATCGGAAGCTTTATGAACATGGATTAAAACAGTATGTTTGCATGACTTGTCTTCAGTAATCCATATTATTGGAATTGGATTGATATTTCTGTTCTGCCAATTCAATTGGTTCTTCATTGAAAAACTCCTCTTCTGGTGCAAAAGGTTAATTGAAGATTGTTGGAGTCAGAATCCTTTATTGAGACCAACATTCAGGCAAATAATTAGGAGGTTGGATGCTATAAGCATTCAGCTTGCCCATAAGAGGCGTTTGAAGGTGGCACTGCTCTCTCTCTCTCTCTCTCTATATATATATATATATATATATATATATATAGATATATCTATCTCTATCTCTCTTTTTTGTGAATTATGTGCCAATGTTAATTGAACTTACTTTCTGCTAAATAATTTTAAATTGGATGTTTTCAAAAATCTAGGAGAGTAAACTAAATTATGTATTAAATTATAGGATGCCTTTTTGTAAGTTGTCCATTTCATTTCTAAAGCATATATTTTTGGATATGGAGACATTGTCTATAGAACATAAAAATATCAAAAAATAAGTAAATTTTAAGAAGCTTTTCTTTCTCCAATTCCAGTTATAGTACTATCTATCTCATGAAATAGTAAAAAAAAATTAACCTGTAAATTTTTTTTTTTAATTTTAAAGATGAAGTAATATATAGAAGACACATTTACTTAATATATATATATATATATATAAGGACACCCAAAGAGTGCAAAGCTGTAGACAGGTTAACCTGCCAATTTAGGTGGGCTCTTTTTCATTAGTAGCACTATCAGCCTTGGAAAGCAGTGAGGCATAAGTGTTTCGGGCACCTTTCCAAAAAGTTGAGTTTGTTTTGGTAATAGTTCAAGTGTTTTACAGAATAAGATAATAATCAGGCATGGGTTTCTAGGGGCAATTTTTTTAGTCTTCAATTGTTCTAAATATTTAAGGTATGGTTTTGGTTAAGAAATCTTTTTTTTTTTTTTTTTTTTCGGTTGGTCAGCTTGGTTATTGTGAAGGTTTTGTATTGTACGCAGGTGGGTTTACTAAAATGTTTTATGAGATTTGAGGGCATATGGAAGAGTGATCATGTGAACCCGAGCAGCCGTTCATCTCGGTCTACAACCAGATGACTAATTTTAAAGAATTTTGATATCTTTCTGCCTCGAAGTGAAGGAATTCCACGGATTTGGTTAGTTGTAGAGACAAGATGTAAATCAAAGAAAGACTTGTGATCTGTTGTGTGCCCACATGATTTCGGTATATTGATCTTTATCCATTATTTCCAGGAAATCTTGCATTGAAAAGAGAAACGATGAGCTGCTTGCTTTTCTTTATGAGAATTTCTGATCGCTTTAATTTCGATATTTTGATTGAATGGATGAATACTACGGATAACTTTCGGGTATGAACACCGAGCTTGTACATGAGACGTTATGTCATGTAAATACATTAAATTGAAGCACCAAGAAGAAGGAAAAAGGGGCATCCTTTTTTTGCTTATCCTTCGAGCCGTTGGATAAGTTTGCAGGCTTATGGGTTTGTAGAGGGTGGCTTGGGTTGGTTACGGATTCACATTTTGTTTTGGGTTTAATATATATATTTGAAATCAACAATACATGAAATTTTGGTTTTTCCCCCAAGGAAATAAAAGGGTGAAAAAATGACATGCGACCTTCTACTACAACATTAAATGGTGGCAGGATCTTGTCTGGTTCTCTGGTCATCCAACACCCTACCACATTAAACATAAAATGCTGTCTTAGATGCTAAAATATATGTTCAAAATATTAATTTTCATTACGTGTTATTTTAAAATACTTAAATTAAATTATACATTTATTTTTTATTGTTCTTGTTCTTATATTTTATAAAATTATTGTATAGTTTTTTAACAATCGATAATGTTAGTATAACGTGCTATGTGAATCTAAATAAGACACATATGATATCTTAGTTGGGTCGTGTATATAAGAAATCATGTATTCGATGACTTAAACGTATAACATTTTAAGAAAAAATAATTTTTTAGATACAAAATTATGTATTCGATATTTTCTTTCAAGTGTCTCTCCTTAAATTCTTTCGGACATTGGAAGAAGTCTTGAGAAAGAAACCAAGATGAGTATGGTAGAGGCGAAGTGGTGAGGTTTAGATTGTGGGAGACAGTTTCCAACAATATTTATTTATTTTTTTAATTTAAAATTTTTAATTCTCATCTTTTAAATTTTGTTATATTAAAAATTAATTAAATATTAAAATCTCTTTTTTTACACGTAAAATACTACGTACTATTCGATATGAAAATTCATTCAATTAGAAACAGTCACCGAATATGTGACACTTTCATTAATAAAATTCGAATCCATTAATAATTAGAGACTAAATTAATTTTTTTTTTTTAAAGTATAAAGACCAAAATTGTAAAAGTCTAGTTTCATAAAATAATTTGAATATTTTAAAACAATAGATATACGAATTTAACATTTCTATCCTTGAAAAAAAAAATTAAAATTTTTTATAACAATATATCTAATCGTAGTTTCTTTAGCAAACAATACTCTAATTCACTAAAACAAAAGAACTAATAAATACTAAAAGGAATGAGAAAAAAGAGGCAACATCATAAGTATGAATCACATGCAAATATAGTATAAAACTTTTATTAGACTCGGTATATAAAATCATAAATTATATTTTACATTAGAGATTTTATTTACTTTACGTTCTAAAATTATATTTCTCTCAATTAAAATACAACGTACCAGGACTTGCTTATTTTATATTATCTACAAAAATCACTTAATAATATACTTTCTATCTTTTTAATGATCGACTCTACGATTTTTTTTTTTATATATTTTATTTCATCATAATTTAACTTAATCTTGAATTTAATTTAATAGTATCAAGATATAATATTTTATACATAAATTATGACTATATTAAAAATTTATTAAAATAACACGTAAATTTATGAATTGTTAGTTATGGATCCGCGACTGTCCAATGTCAACAATCATAAAATTAGTAGTAATTATAAATTAATAATTTTTTTTTAACGGGTTAGTAGTTATTTATTTTATTTTATAAATAAAAATATTTTAAGTTTAGATTAATTTTTATATACATACAATTTGTATTGCTATGTTTTTATAGATTAAATTATTATATTACATTTGGGTTGGATAATATTTTTTTTTAATTTTTTATTAAATTTTTTATATATATTAAATTGTAATTTAAAAAAAAAAAAAAAAGGTAGGGCAACACTTCCCCATTGTGCCACATCGTACATCCTTTCTTCTTCGTTTGTCTTAAAATAATAATAATAAAAGAAAAACACGTCGCTGTCAACCATCAGATGTTTCCAGTTGGTTGGGTCCCACTTCCAACTTCTCACTTATAATCTCCACTGAACTGCTCGTCCACATCATTATCATATCATACATAATACATGTATGCATCGCATAAACAAACATCTCCATGCATGTCTCCTTCCTTTGTTACAACCATGGTGATGATACATAATATATTCCCCTATGGTGATAATACATATACAAGAGGCATGCATGTATATATATTTTTTTTAATTTCATTTTTTGTACATCAATGATAACGACGGAATTTGAAAAAGGTAAAACTGTATGCCCCCGAGAAAAATTTCACGTACTCGCGCCAAAGTCAAAATTTTATACTCGCTGATTTAAACTAGCCACGTGTCCTTACGCCACGTAATCTAAACCGGGCACTTGTTGTCGCTATTTCGGCATTCATATTTCTTTAGACGCCACTCCGGCGCGTGTCATCACTCGATCTTTTAACTATTATTTTTTTACTGCAACTGTCAATTTATTTACTTTTACTGTGTATATATATATACTTTTTTTAAAATAAAAAAAATAAAAATTTACTGTGTGTAAATTTTCGTATGGTAATTTAATATTTTAAGAATAAAAAACTAAAAGATATCAAAATAATATATTTTGATATAAAAAAGAGACTGTTTATTTAAAATTATATTTTTTAAAAAAAATTTAAATTTTAATTTATGTACTTTGGGTATTTTCATGAATTAAAAAATATAAAAAAGATAAAATAATAATTTTTTATAATTTACATTATATAATATTCATTTTATTGTTAATTGACTTATATATATATATATATATGCATATTTTGGCTAAAAAATGAAAAAAAAAATCAAAGTAGAGATTAACACGAAAAACAAACATAATCTAGTACTATATCGTGATTACTCATAGAAAGTTAATTCTCGAACCCTTTT